ATTTTTTCAACTTCGCATGTTTCTCAAGGCCACGCTCGGGCCCGAGAGCTTCCCCGGCCCCGCTCGCGCCCGCCATCTCCGCGCAGACGACGCGCGGCTGCCGCGTCTCACTCTCGGTTGACGACCGCCAGCAGGACACCCGCACTTGCGCCGAGCCCGCCGAGTGCCCCACCGCCCCCCGAAGTGCCGGCCTCGGGGCTCGCGGGGGACCTCAGCCTCTCACCGACGCGACGAGAAGATTGCGCAGTCCGCGCGCCAGCGGGACATCGCTGACGGAGCCCCGGAACAGGCGCCCCGCCGCAGCCTTTTCAGCACCGCGTGGACCCAGAGCTTCGCGCAGGATTCACGTTCGAGGCGCGCAGAGCACGGGCTCGACAAGCGATGCGAGACCGAACGCCCCGCTCCGCATCGCGCTTGCGATGCTCACGACGAAGCTCCACCATCTTTGCGGGTCGTCGAGGAGCCCTCGGCAGCGGGGCGAAAGCAGGCGCTATCGGGTTCGGTCAGGACCCGCCAGCCGCGCGCGACGAAGCATCGCTCGGCGAGCCCTCGTCCAGAAACAGGCCGCCTGACTACAAACGGCCAGCGGCGCTGTCACAGCGTGCGTCGCGCCCCCCATGCCCTCCGGGCGAGCGCGCGCCGCGCGCTCCACCACGTCGACACCTCTTTCCAGAGGATTGGCCCCAGTCACCTTCTCGCGAGGCTGAAACGACGAGGCCAGCACGGCTCGCGGCTCGGGCTGGAGACCAACGCCACCTCGCCCGTCGACCACGCGCGCGTTCTGGACCATGACGAGGACCACGGCGCCTGTCGGCCTCCGCGGGCACGCAGCTGGCAATGCCGAGGGCAAGGACAAGGGCGGGCCCGCGCCAGACGACTCCGCCGACCATCCCGAGAAGAAGAAGAAGAAGAAACAGAAGAAGAAGGAGAAGAATACCCGCAGGGCTGGGGAGAACGTCAAGCGCCGGCGCCCCCGCGCGGCCCTCCGCGCGGCCGGCGCCGACGAGCCAGCCGCGGCAGCCGCCCTCGCCCAGGGGCAGCGCAGAGCCCGGCGCGCCCAGCGAGGAGGTCGCCCACGGCGGCCGCGATCGGAGCGGCCCCCGCGGATCGCGACCGCGGCGAAACATCGAGGCGATAGTGCCAAAAAGAGTGCGCGCGCCCCTCTACGCCCACCTCCGCCCATCACCTTCTCCCCCACCTACCAGGTAAAGGCAATGTACATCCACCTCGCCCTTCACGCGGCCCCGGGGCCATCATCTTACCTAAGTTCCTGGACAGGCTTTCAGACATCACGTCTGCGGCCCGAGGCCACCAACATCATGCACATTGCGGCGCGAGGAAGCTTACACCATCATCGCTCACACGCGCGAGCTCATACAGCGCCAGTCTTAAGCACGAGCCAGCTACCCCCTATTGAGGGTGAGCCTGCGCCCCGCCGCGTCGCGCGCCCGTCAGGTCAGACAGCGACGGCGTCTCCCTGCCGAGTCTAGAATGTGCTTGTGGTTGAACATCGATGGTTCCCTTATTCCTTTGGTCTCTCTTCTCCGCCAGAGCTGATCGATCGCCCGCAAAATCCCGACTCAAGTAGGAAAGCTCGCCGCGGTCGATTGGGCCCTAGCGTCGACACAAACTTGTATACTGCACGGAGAGTTAAACAGCGCATTACACATATTATTGCCGCCGTGCTTTCTCTCGTACACCTTCCAACCCCGCAATTCTAGTTGTCCCTGTTCCTCTCCTCGTCTTCTTTTTCCATGTACCTCACGGCCGGTGTTTTTTTCTGTACTTCTGGCATCAGGTTGAAGTTCTAGACGCTTCGCGTATCCCCACCAGCCCGTCCAGAAACGACGCCCAGGCGAGTAGAGGGTCGTCCTGAGGGTTTTTTCGGCGTCTTGGGTGCCTCGGGGGGGCCTCTGTGGGCCGTTCGGAATCCTCTTTGGAGCCTCCTGGGAGCCTCTTGGGGCCTCTTGGGGCCATCTTGGGGCCTCTGGGAGCACCTTGGGTGCCTCTGGGGGGTCTCTTGGGGCCTCTTGGGGGTCTCTTGGGGGCCTGCTGGGGGCCTCTTGGGGGGCCTCTTGGGGCCATCTTGGGGCCATCCTGCGGCCTCTTGGGGCATCCTGGGGGCCTCTTGCGGCCATCGTGGAGGAAATCGATCAAAGAAGGGGGGTTCCTTAATTAGAGTCCCCCCCCAGGAACTCCAAAAATCGCTTCCTGGACCCCTCTTGGATCGCTCTTGGAGCGCTCGTGGCCGCTCTTGGAGCCATCCTGAGGCTCTCTTGGGCCCTTCTTGGAGCTATCTTGAGCCATCTTGGAGCCATCTTGACGCCTCGGATGTGCATCGCAAGCGAAAAAGTGAGAACACCAAAAGCATGGATTATCCTTAGGGTTTTGAAGCAGTTTGGCCTCTTGGATGCATCCTAATGATGCTCTTGTGGGCACTTGGAACCGTCTTGGAGAGTTCTTGGAACGTCTTGGAACATTATGGGGACCATATTGAGGCATCTTGCGCTATCTTGAGCCATCTTGGAGGGTATCTTGGGCTCCCTGAGGCCCTCTTGGAGCCGTCTTGGGCCATCTTGGGCGCTCCGACGCGCCGCGGAACCCCCTGTCCAGGTCAGTAGGGAGGGGGTAGGGGGAGGGGTAAACCCCTCCCCGAAGGGGAAGAAGGAGGGGTGGAAGAAAGAATCGATCTAAACAACCGACGCCCAGAGGGCTCGTGGGATTCTAGAAGCTTCGCGTATCCCCACCAGTTCGGCCGCAGCCCGACCGTGACCGCCTGCCGCTGGCGCTTCCGCCTGCGGCTGTAAAAAAAGAGTATCCCCACCAGCCCGTCCAGAAACGACGCCCAGGCGAGTAGAGGGTCGTCCTGAGGGGCTTTTCGGCGTCTTGGGTGCCTCGGGGGGGCCACTGTGGGCCGTTCGGGATCCTCTTTGGGGCCTCCTGGGGGCCTCTTGGGGCCTCTTGGGGCCATCTTGGGGCCGTTGGGGGCCTCCTGGGCGCTTCTTGGGGCCATCTTTGCCCCTTGGGTGCCTCTAGGGAGTCTCTTGGGGCCTCTTGGGGGTCTCTTGGGGGCCTCCTGAGGCCCCTTGGGGGGCCTCTTGGGGCCATCTTGGGGCCATCCTGCGGCCTCTTGGGGCATCCTGGGGGCCTCTTGCGGCCATCGTGGGGGAAATCGGCCAAGGAAGTAGGGTTCCTTAATTAGAGCCCCCCCCAGGAGTTCCAAAAGTCGCTTCCTGGACCCCTCTTGGATCGCTCTTGGAGCGCTCGTGGCCGCTCTTGGAGCCATCCTGAGGCTCTCTTGGGCCCTTCTTGGAGCTATCTTGAGCCATCTTGGAGCCATCTTGACGCCTCGGATGTGCATCGCAAGCGAAAAAGTGAGAACACCAAAAACATTGATTTTCCCTAGGGTTTTGAAGCATTTTGGCCTCTTGGATGCATCCTAATGATGCTCTTGTGGGCACTTGGAACCGTCTTGGAGAGTTCTTGGAACGTCTTGGAACATCATGGGGACCATCTTGAGGCATCTTGCGCTATCTTGAGCCATCTTGGAGGGTATCTTGGGCTCCCTGAGGCCCTCTTGGAGCCGTCTTGGGCCATCTTGGGCGCTCCAACGCGCCGCGGAACCCCCTGTCCAGGTCAGTGGGGAGGGGGTAGGGGGAGGGGTAAACCCCTCCCCGAAGGGGAAGAGGGAGGGGTGGAAGAGGAAACTCGTTAAACCACCGACGCCCAGAGGGCTGGTGGGACTTCATGCGCATTTTCGGTATTCACCCCTCTCGCTTGGGGGTGCGGATCGGTTTCGCTGTATTTTGTTTATGTGGCTCGTGGGCGAACGACACGCGCGAGGTAATGCCATGCCGATGTTGCGAGGAAAATGTTGCTGCAACTTCGAGCCGGCGCCAGAATATGTGCACTCATTCGGGAGCCTCGAGACGGGGGTCAATGCAAACGGGGGTCAGCCAGTGCGCCAGATCCTGCAGGATCCTGCGAAGACCCCCTCTGGCTGACCCGGGTTAGGGAGCCGCCCGTGGCCGCGAGGCGGCCGCGCGTATTGGCTGACCCGGGTCTGCGAAGACTTGCGGTGCAGTTTTTTTTTCCTGCATTGCAGTTTTTGGTTTCCTGCTGACCCGGGTCTGGATTGACCCGGGTCAGAAGATCCCCGACTCATACGAAAAGGTCATGCCAGGGCCGATCCAGTCGAGTTGACAGTTCTCAGGTCGGACTGGTTTGTCCGTCTTCCGTCGCGTTTCATCAAATGCTTTTGTTGGGGGAAAGCCCGTTCAGATCGGCTTGCACACGTTCCAGACCAGCCATGCGACTTTCTTCCGAAACCGTTTCTTATATTGAGTTCCGTTGGTCAAGCCCGGACCAGCCGTAGATGGCGAAAGTACCACAGCAGTCTCCCGTGTAACCAGCCGAGGAGGATAAGATCGTCAAGTTTACGCGAGCACGCGCGATCATGTTGCACTTGTCATGTATTGTTTTTGGGGCGGGGGTTGGGGCTGGGAGGTTGTATTGCAGCATCGGCGTCGGTGATGTGCGTTGAGTTGATTATGGTTTTCCCCGTCCTCCTACCAGGCTTACAAAGTCACCTGACTGAGTGCGTTGGAGGGGACGATGCATCTGCCCGCGGCATTCGCGTCGAGCGCGGGGCGCAAGCTCCTTCCCTGGTGGCGAGGCCCGAGACCTTGGACTGACCAATTCGTTGGCCACAGCACCTGTCGCGTCTCTGGTCGGGAGACGCAAGCCGTGCACCTAGCCCCTAAGACCTGGGTATGTACATGGTTTTCCTGGTCAAGCCACACACACAGGTTTTGTCGGGCACGTCTTGAGACCAGGACCTGGGTACGTATACGCCTTTCCATGGTCAGGCCACACAAACACGCACACACACACACACACACACACACACACACACACATACCGAGCCTTGGCCCAGCGTGGGCGCTTGCCTCACAGGTGCGAAGCGGCGAAGAACGCGCGCGCGCGAGCGCGCGCGGAAGGTCTTGCTGGCGAACGGCGGGTCCTGGATGTTGAAATCCGAGAGCTTGCAGGACGTGCGAGGCTGCGGGGTGCTCTCCTCTTCCCTCCGTATCCCGCCTCCTCCCGTCCCCCACCCGCTTTCCCCTTTCCCCCCCCACCTCCGCGGTGGAGGGGAGGAGGATCTAGAGGGAGGGTCTGGAGAGGGGGGAAGGAGAGAGGCGCCCACAGCACGGAGAAGGAGGCCGCTGGGGACTGGCGGCGGCCTCAGACACGGCGCGAGCGGGCCGGGGATGGGTTGCAGGTCCCCACGGTTTCTTGGTTTGGGGAGGCGGCAGGCCGTGTGCCTCCTACCCGCGGCCATTCCCGCGCACGCGATTTCCCGCCCAGGGCCTTGCCCGCCCGCGGGCGCCACCCTCGCCCAGCAAGACGACACAGCCGCAGCCGCAGCGCTCGCGGGCGCGGTTCAGACAGATCCCGCCCGCCACCGCCGCTGGTCACGCCCAGCGGCGCGAGGGCGGCCCAGAGCCATCAGGCGCGGCATGAAAAGTGCCCGCGGCCAGTGCACGCCAGCATGGCGGGGGCGATGTTGGTTGCTGCTGAAGCGACCGAGGCAAGCACTCTGGAAGAGCTTGGGAGCGTGGGGCCCAGGCGCCCCGCCTTCGAAGCATCTGAACCAGGTGACGAGGAGCGTGGTAGGCTCTAGACGGCGGGCGAGTCGCAGCCCAGCCCGACGCAGTGGTGTTCGTATTTGCAAATGATGTGAGATTGCGTCTTTCGAACGGGCATCTGGTCTTCGAGCAGTTGTGCTCGCATTGTTTTGTGCCGCACGACAAACACCTTCGCAACGCTCAAGCAGCAATTTCGATGTTCGAATTGTTTTGTGACGGCCGAATGCTATCTCGTGCGTCGTTTCAGGGTTGCGCCCATGGGAGAGAATTGCTAATTCAGCTGCATTAGAATAGCTCTGCGACGCCACGCGTCGACCCCCAGGCAATTGGAACTGTTCGCAGAAAAATATGTGAATCAATCAATGAAACTCCTTCACAATGGTGAACACGCCTTTGTTTTGTCCCTCGTCCTCTTCCATCGCCCCCAGTTCGCGCGCGAGGTTCGACATTGTTGGATCAAGTGTTGCCGGCATTGCACGACGACGCTCGCGCAACTTCAAGCGATAACCGCCGGTCCCACGTCTGCGCAAAAATGCATCCTGCAAATGCCCGCCATCGAGATTCTCCACGGGGGGCAGCAGAGCCGGCACCCTTCGTTCGAGGGGCCGTCGACACAAGTTGGTCGAGGGGGATCAATCAGATTCACAGCTCCCCCTGTTGCCAGTTGTTGTGGCCGTCGGGGTGGAGGGGCGGGGGGGGAAGGGGGGGGCCCTGGGCCTAGCTTCGAGGAGATCGAGGCGCGCAGGGCCGCTGCCGCTGCCAGCTGACTTCGTTGCGACCGAAATCCGATGCGCGTGCGAGATCGAACTCACGATGACCGAGGCGCCAGAAACGCACCTCCGCATGGCGCTGACGCCTTCGGCCATGTCGTCGCTGGGCGCACCGAGGCCGCGCGCCGCGGTGGGCCCCAGCGCCCCAGGGCGGTCGGCCAGAGGGGCACGAGGAGGGCAAGAGGCAGAGGGAGGCGAGAGGGCACGACCGAGCGGCGGGGTTCGACGCTTCAGCAGTGGCGGCGCAACGCGGTGGTCGACGGCTGAGCGGCGCAAAGCGGCAGGGGTGGTCTTTGGATGGAGGAACGGGCTGCGACACGGCGGCCGAAAGTGGAGACGGTGAGCCTGGTGTCGGCGTCTGCGCGCGCTGGCGGAGGCACGCGTGCTCGTGGGCAGGTGGTCCCATCGCGGGCCCCGCCCTCCCGGGGAAGAGGCGGCGGCGCGGCCTCTCCTGGAGCGGGGCCAGTGCCATCCTTTCACCGCCCAGGGGTCAGAGGGAGGGGGGGGCCCTCCAGTGCGCGGCGCAGGCGCAGATCGGCCAAAGGTGCGGGTGGGGGGCGGGCGATGCGATGAGCGAGCGCGCGCGTGGCAGACGTTGTCGAGCCTGGACAGGCGCGCAGCGGCGCGGAAGGGAGGCCGGGGGGCAAGGCAAGGAGGCAGGCTCGCAAGTGGGCGGGCAGGTGGACGGGGGCGGCCCGAGCGGGGCTTCCACCCCCCGCCAGGAAGGCGAGGGCTCCCTCGGCGTGGCTCTTGGTGGTGGCGCTGCCAGGCTTGGTAAGGGCGCAGGGAGTGAACAAGCTTACACGAAAAGGCAACTCAGTCCCCCAAGCCCAAAGCACGAGTGCAACATCCAACCCCGAACCTACTCGTCGGGGCCATGCAAATTCATCATGAGCCCTACAACTACAAACGCCAGTAGCGAATAACGAAAGGGAAATCATACATCGTATGTTGCAACAACGCATGGCAAGTCCCCCCCGAAATGCACGACGCTGCCCAATCAAAGTGTCGCAAGTAATGAGCATGCAACCATTGCGCGGTTCGCGTGCTGCATGGTCTTATACGCGGGGGGTAGGGCATAGGAGAATGTTGAGCGCGGGTTTGGGCCGAGGTTCTAGTAAACCCAGTGTTCGTCAAACCTTAGGGGTGAGTTTACATGAATTATGTTAGGCAGGGTAAATGTATGTTAGTCGGGGGATGGGCAGATGGCACCCTTAGAACACAAGCGATGCGTCGTTTCAGTTGCTCTTGGTTGGCGGCTGAAGAGGCGCGGGCGGACGGCGACGGGGGGGTGAATCAAACAGGGGCCGCCAACCGCCTATAGGGGGTCGGGTTGCGTGCGCCTCACGAACTAGAAGATAGATGTCTCACAATCGCAGTGGCCCCAAAGGGTCGGCGGATCGATCGTCGGACAGCTTGCTGGGTGAACATTCACAAGCACACTTGGGCTCTCTGCGGTTCGCGTAGTTGCTTACTCCAGTGGGATTGTCTTGTTTTGCGTTGCATCGAGCTTCTGGGGGGCCTTGCATTGCGTTCGCACTGCTTCGTGCTGTCCCGTACCACTTGCCATTGCATTGCATATTTAGCCTTCGTGTTGACTTGCATTGCAATGCGCAGTGAGGTTTGCCGCGCAATGCATCGCATCGCATCCCCATGTGCGAAGCATTGTGCAGCCATTTTGGCCCAGTGAAGTTTCACGTTCCCGCATGGCGGGGATCGGCCATGACAGTCCGCCCCCGGGCCCCGCCAAAGATCTAGACATCCATGGGGGCGGGGAGGCGCCAGAGTCTCCAGCGCGGCGTGGTCGCAATCGGGGCAGGAAGATCAATGTGATTGGCAATGTTGGCGGCGTGCGTGTCTGGATTATATGCAGCGCGAGCTCATGCCAAGTATTTTCAGTTTCAGAGGGGCCTCATGCGCTTGATGATCGCGTCGCCTACAACATCGGCGTCGGACACTGGGGGGCCCCCAACAAGATGCCATACCGAACAGCGATCAAGCCCAATTCCTGTTGACGCGCACCTTTGGAGATAATATAGACGCGACATCGGGTGCCGTGGTATATCATCTAACTCAAGTGTCAGAACTCAGATGTCCAGAACATCTTGTAATCGGAAACGTCGATGTGCGGGGGGCAATCAAATACGTTCGGTGCGAAAACATGGTTGGTGTGCACGACAGGCAGCACGACACCACATGTAAGGAGATGATTCGTATGTGGGCAAGCGAAGTTGGTAAAGCTGCGAGTGACGCGCCAATGCATTCAGTTATGACGTCAGAAGAATATGTTAAGCAGATCAATGACACGTGGACGGCGCTGAAAGTTGTTCCAGTCAAGCCAAACCTGAGGTGGTCAAAGCATCTTCTGTCATCGGGCCCATCTGCAAAGACAGCGCAATATTTCAGGAGCTGCTTCGATGCCGGTGAGCCAGAGCGCGTGGTTGCCAACGCTTCTCAGTTCTGTGCACCAACAAGGCCGAAAGGATCTACCATGTTCGCTGGGCCCCCAGCGATTGTCATCATTGCATCCCTGGACGCATCACATCACCTCAAGAGTATGCATGTCGTGAAGCAGGCCAGGTTTGCATGGGCGAAGGTGTTGGCTCAGTATGACCATGATGAAGCGCAGCGCATGGTGAGCGAATATCATGATATATCTCGGACTGCACTTCGGCTGGCACGGATTCGGCTGGAAATTGCGCACGTGACATTGTTCAGATTGTATCTTGCCGAGGAGCTGCAAAGTTCCAGTATATACTTGCTCACGGCTGGCAGCCCGCAGTGGCGAGGCGTTGGGATGATGGCTAGCACGATGGACCTCATCGGTTGTGACAACCAGAGGTGTACATGCCTGAGGATGCTACCCCCTGTAGCCCGCATCGGGAACCGCCAGCCCGACCTGATCGGCAAGACGTACGCGACTCTTTGGAAGATCATGTTGATCGTCGGGCCAAGCAACACTTCGCTTCGGAGTTTATTGGCCAAGGTTGCGTCTATCACGTCGGACTTCGGGACAGAAAAGCTATTGTGCACAACGCCAGATGGTCTGATCGCTTTCTGCGGTCTTGTCGGTATACGTGTTCCGCCACGGGTTCGACGACATAGGCAACTGTTCCCTGTCGCACTCGTGGCTCCTGGGTGGATGCACATCATTGATGCAGTTATCAAGCGTTCGCTATGCAGCTTACCTTGGTTCCCGACGTGGTTCGGTGGCTTGAAGGCGTGTCTGCAGTTTTTGCGGTACAATTTGGATGATGTGGTGAAGGCTACTCGGCGAGCGCATCCCTCGGTAGCTCAGCTGGTTGCCAAGATATCGATGCCATACTCTGCAGAGTGGCGATGGGGCACGTTGCACAAGGCATGCAATGCGATGTCAGTGCTGCTCGACATATGCCGTCGGTTGTGGTATTCATTCGATTTCGTTGCGAAGATCAGGGGTACGGCATTGCTGAAGAAGGTGAGAGCGTCCCTTCTTCGCCATCGTTGGGCAGCGCATTTCAAGTTCGTAGAGTGGCACGCCGACTCGCTTTCATCTTTGCAGTCGCGGGGGGGGGCTCACGCGCGTGCCACCAGCAGGAGTACAGGAATGGACGGACAGTTTCCTGCATGATGAAGGGCCGCTTGATAACATATGCATGGGACCACGCGAAAACAGTATTCAATGGCGCCGTCACGGAGATCTGCAGCTGGTCATTGCATGATGTCTGCGAGGATGCCTCTTTGCAGTCGTCCTGCATCGGTGCTGTGCAGTATTGCAGATCTTTGGGCATGAGGAAGCTGCAACTCTTGGATCACATCCCGCACCTGGTTTCGAGGTTGGGCGAGCCTGGGATAGTTGGCAGAGTCTTAGCGCAGCACCGAGAAGTCCCCGATGATCAGCACCACCCAATAACCTTGAGGTTTTTGGGCGACGGCTCGCCCTTCAAGAGCTCGATTGTGCAACTGCCTGAGGCCGGCGGGGAACTACCTGACGGCCTCCGTCAAGCGGCGCAGCAGCTCGTCGACATCCCGCTCGACGACCACATCGCTGAGGGGCCGCGTGCACAGGCGCAGCGTGTCGTGGGGAATTCGCGATGCACCAAGTTCCCGTTCGTGGCGTCATCACTTCGGCTGGCTCGCAACCTCAGCACGGTGCAGGAGTTGGTCACCGCAACTGGGGCAAGCATCCAGCATTACGGGATGCGTGGTCTTCGGTGGTGAACGCGAAGAGGCCGACGAAGCCGACCAATAGGAAACGAGAGCAAGTACATAAGCGAGTCTACGAGCTCAATTCTCACAGGCTTCTGGGTCTTCATCGACCTGGCGACGATCCGCATGACGCCGACGATGCATTCGACGAGCCTGATGACCCTCGCGGCGGAGACCCTGGAGATGCGGCTATTGTGGCGCACAGTGAAGCCCATGCAGAGGGCAATCAGTTCCGAGGGTTGACAGAGTCGCAGAAGCTAATGGCGGAGTTCCTCGGAGGCGCGCTGCAGCAGCACGACTATTTCTCAGTCCCCAGTGGGCCAGGCGATGATGCACCCTTCCACGTTCATCAGGTCATTGCGAAGCAGACGAAAGACGTCCTCGTGGAGACAACTGGCACGGCCCCTACAGATACCACGACTTGGTTGTTCCATCCAATGGACATCTTCGTCGACCCGACTTCCGAGACCGACGACGACGGGCGCGTAGACGTGTTCGCGATGGCAACGGTCTCAGTGTTTCCAGCATCGTTGCGGTTTTCGGCGGCGACGTGAATCGCAGCCAGATCTGCAGGTGGCAGGCGCGCGCCCCGCGGGTCGACGGCTGCGTCGGCTTACGCGACAAGAAGGTTGCATCGTGGAGGACTCACGGGGGGGGGGGGGGGGGATGAGGAAGAGGTGGAAGAGGAGGGGGGGGGGGGGGAAGTTGGAGGAGCAGGAAGGCTTGGAGGAGGAGGAGGGGGAAGACGATGAGGGGGGACGCCCTCCCACGCTATCGCAAGGGCCCCCCTGTCCGACCCGAAGATACCCGTGCTCTGCTTGATGGGCGCCCTCGTGGCCGAGGGATTCAGGTCTAGCGATGCTCTGTGCTTCCATGCCAAGGGCTCGGTCGCAAAGTTCGACGGCCGCAGGTTGAGCTCCAGGAGGTTTTACGGCCAGTGCCTCCTGGCCCGCCGATCCATTTTTCTGCGCGGTCAGGAGCGCTTCAGGAGCGACCAGCCACAGGCGCACTACAAGTGGCTGCTGCGGGCTGGGGGGGGGGGCATCCCAGAGCAGGCCACTGCGCGAGAGTGCAACGCGAAGCTGGTGGAGTTCGAGGCAGCCGGCGATGACTGCGTTGTCGACGCAACGCCGATGGCGGCGCCGTCAGAGCCTGTCCCAGGAGGCGCGCCCGCGGCGATCGTCTACATCGACGGCGACGATGGCGACGAGGGGCCGCCTGCAGATCCGCCACCGCCGATCGCTGCTCAAGCTCCTCCTGAGGTTCGCGGAGATGGGGGCAACGGAGGCTGCGCGGTGCCCGGTTTCATCCTCGGGCAGCCCATCTCGTTGGAGGCCCACTGGCGCGGCGGCCGCGGCCTTCGGGTGCAGTGCCCGACCCGCCACGGCTGCAGCATGCACAGGTCGTTGGCCGTGGACGCGGCGGTGTTCGGGCCAGCGGCGGCCAAGCACTACCTGTCGACGTGACTGGCTGCGGCGCCGACGATGGGCGCCGCCGAGCACCGCGCGTGGAAGCCCACCAGGGCTCAGATCCGCACGCACTTGGCGGATGCATGAGTATCGAGATCATGATCACATCGTCACCCACAGCATCCCCACCTTAACACTGAAATTGCAGGGGCCAATAATGCCACCACAAGCACCATCACCACCATCACCATTAGCATCATACCCATCGCCACCAAAACTGCACAAAACAAAGAAATAGGGAAACCAGCGTTTCGCCCGAGGACCGCCCTGGCTATGGCACCCCCCCGCCCGAGCCGAATCAGAACCTCCCGGGGGCAACCGCCCAGTAGGCGGGGGAGGGATCTGTCAGCGATTCCTGCAATGTGCATGGGGGGGGGGGGGCGGGGGGGGCAATATATTCATTGCAATCGGGTGCACTCTGAGTTGGCATTGTGCTAGGGCGCAAACTCGCTGGCACGTCACCGCCCCCCAGAAATCTACGTGGGGCGGTGGCAGGCCAAGACTACTTAAAGATATCACCATAAGCGTTGAGGTGCACTTACACAGCGCGCGATAACACACGAGCACCATGCGCGCACGACTGGACTTGCACAACACGAGGTCGCATGCCACGCCAAAGCGAATACCCCGTGCATGGTGGGCCCCAGGGGGAGGAGGGGCAGGAGTGGGAGGAGGAGGAAGACTCAACGGGGGGAGGCGATGGCGAGGATGAGGAGGAGGGGATGGGGGGGGGGGAAGAAGAGGAGGAGGGCACAGGGCCAGGACGGTGATGAAGAAACTGGAGAAGGACGGGGAGGCGGAATGGAGGGGAGGGGGGGGCGGATGGGGAGCGAGGAAGGGAGGGCGGAAGAAGGAGGGAGATGATATGAGGAGGAGGGGGAGGAGGAGGAGACGGAATGGTGATAAGAAAATGGCTATACCAAGGATGGGGGGGGGAAGAGGAGGGGGGGGGAGGAAGAGGAGGAAAGGGAGGAAAAGCAAGCGGAGGACGGTGGAGGAGGGCGAGGAGGAGCAGGAAGCGGAGCAACATGCGCAGGATGAAGGGGCGGGCGGGGGGGGGGGCAATGACAGGGAACAGGGGGAGAGGGGGGGCAAGAGGAGGGGGGGGGGGGTGAGGAGGACGCGCAGGAGCAGGTGCAAGGGGGGGGGGGGGCGTCTCCGGCGCGGAAGAAGAGGGGGCGGAGGAGGCGAAGGAGGGGCGCGTGGAGGGCGGGGAGGACGGAGCGGAACAGGACGAGGAGGAATAGGGGGAGGAAGACGTTCGTCATCTGTACACAGAAACCCCCGATCAACCGCAGAGAGGTTGGCTTCTCTTGTTGTTTAATCATTGTCGCAGCCGCCCTTGGGCTTGGCACATGCACGACCGCCCTGGGATGGTTTGCGGGATTCAGCGGGATGGCTGGGCCACTCCAGAACAACCCCTGCCCGCACATGAACCTGCCATTGCACCTACCACTGTTAATTCCAGCACCGCGCTTGCACCGCCCTTGCCGCTCCCGCGCCAGTTGCGAAGCAAAGTCGCCGCGGTCCCTTGGGCCATCCTGAACTGCAACCGCGCGTGGTCCACCCGCGGCTTCTGACGCAACCGCCAACTGACCCCAAACCACTATTGAGCACCGCTTGACCCAATGTAGAACAAGGCGGGGCCCTTCCTGGACCAATGTTGCAGAAACTTTTGAATGCGCATGTTGGCCCGCGGGCGAACAGATCTATGCGCTCGCCCGCGGCTGACCGTGACGCAGAAGCTCCAGGGCGATGTCGTAACCAATTTTGAATCACGCGCCAACCGCGCCTGTACTAATTCTGCACCACTTCAGGGCTACGTTCGCATCGATACTGAACCACCCCAGGCTGTCCCTGAACCGCGCCTGAATCACTAGCGATGCACCCCTGAAGCGCCCCCATGCGCTCCTGGGCACTGCCCGACGCACAGCCGCGCTTGAACACCCCAGCGCCTTTCCTGAACCGCAACAAGACCACACCATAATCACTCTTGGATCAACACCGATGCCCGCCTGCGCCACTCAGCAACGAACTACTCACCACTGATACACCGCTCCGCGAACCACGTTTACGCCAATATCGCGTGCGTCATTGACTGACCGATGCGCAGCCGCTCCTGGAATAACCTTTTAGCCACTTCGGAATAACGCCTACACTAACCCTGAACCGTTCATGTGCTTGCATTGAACCGCTTCTGAGACACGCGTGAACCACCCCTCGAACACGCGCGGCTCCCTCGGGGACAATCTCTGCGCCACGTTTGCATCGACCCCCCCAACAAAACAAAAAAAAAATGGGAATGCGCCGACTGGCGTCCACTTCTGGACCAGCCCTGGGCCATTCCAAAACCACCCCTGCAAAACAACTGGGCCATATTTGAACCGCGACCGAACCACCCCCGAACATCTCATGGACTGCGCTTGCACCACACCTGAAATTAGTGGTGCGCCACGCGTGAACCACTCCTTTCGACGCCCCTGGGGTTTGTCTAAGCGCCCACCACCCTTGCGCCAGTTAGGAGCCACCCCTGAACCATTCCTGTACCACCCCTGAGCCATGGCTGAACTTCTCCTGAAACGTTCCTGAACCGCCCTCGAACCATTTTTGAACCACGTTTGACCCACGTTCGAGCCATCCCTGGCCAACGTTCGGACGACTCCCCAAACGCCCCTACGAACAAATCGAACGACAACCACGCCTTAACCACCCATGGGCCATTCCGAAAACGCGTTTGAACCACACCTGGACTAACCCCGAGCATCTTTTGAACCACTCGTGGACATTTTTGAACCACGGGTGGACCACGACCAGACTACCCATGGACAACTCCTAACCCACCTTTGGGGCACTCCCGTTGGCGGCATGCGGCGTCTCATGATGGTCGCCGCTCCGTGCGCGGCCCTACAAAGCTGTTGCGCGCTATGCCGCTTCTGAGCCCCATATGAGCCACTGGTGAGAACCACTCCTGAACCATTCCTGAACCACCCCTGCAACACTTCTGGACCACTCTTGAAACGCCCTGGAACCACTTCTGAACCACCCCGCATGCGCCCCCGAGCATTATCCACATGACAATTACCCCCAAACCAGCCCTGGACCATGTCTGAACCATTCCCGAACCTTTCCTGAATCATTCCCAACCATCCTGTGGTGTTGGGTCCTCGTTTTGAAGAGACGGTGCCCCGCGTTCCTTCCTCCTTCCTCCTCCTCCCGCTGCCTCCTCCCTCCTCGTCTCATCATCATCAGCATCATCGTCACCACCCACCATCATCATCATCATCGTCATCGTCATCATCATCAGCACCACCATGGTCGTCATCATCACCATCCGCATGCTTCTATTTCGGCACACCCATCACACAGTTCGTGGCCCCATAGGGAGCTCCACCGAAGCCCCCAGTGGCAGGGTTCGCATGGCGGCCCCGCCCCATTGTGGCGCACCCCTCACACGGTTCGTGGCCCCATAGGGAGCTCCACCGAAGGCCCCAGTGGCAGGGTTCGCATGGCGGCCCCGCCCATTTTGGCGCACCCCTCACACGGTTCGTGGCCCCATAGGGAGCTCCACTAAAGGCCTCAGTGGCAGGGTTCGCATGGCGGCCCCGCCTCATTTTGGCGCACCCCTCACACGGTTCGTGGCCCCATAGGGAGCTCCACCGAAGGCCCCAGTGGCAGGGTTCGCATGGCGGCCCCGCCCCATTTTGGCGCACCCCTCACACGGTTCGTGGCCCCATAGGGAGCTCCACCGAAGGCCCCAGTGGCAGGGTTCGCATGGCGGCCCCGCCCATTTTGGCGCACCCCTCACACGGTTCGTGGCCCCATAGGGAGCTCCACCGAAGGCCTCAGTGGCAGGGTTCGCATGGCGGCCCCGCCTCATTTTGGCGCACCCCTCACACGGTTCGTGGCCCCATAGGGAGCTCCACCGAAGGCCCCAGTGGCAGGGTTCGCATGGCGGCCCCGCCCCATTTTGGCGCACCCCTCACACGGTTCGTGGCCCCATAGGGAGCTCCACCGAAGGCCCCAGTGGCAGGGTTCGCATGGCGGCCCCGCCCCATTTTGGCGCACCCCTCACACGGTTCGTGGCCCCATAGGGAGCTCCACCGAAGGCCCCAGTGGCAGGGTTCGCATGGCGGCCCCGCCCCATATTGGCGCACCCCTCACACGGTTCGTGGCCCCGTAGGGACATAGGGAGCTCCACCGAAGGCCTCAGTGGCAGGGTTCGCATGGCGGCCCCGCCCCAGCGTGGCGCACCCCTCACACGGTTCGTGGCAGTATTGGGAATTCTTTTTGCTTCGTCCCACCTGCCCTGCGGTATTCACGTTTGCATATGGTTGGGTCCTTCGCCAGGATAATTTTTGAGCCACTCCTGAACCATTCTTGAGCCACTTTTGAACCACTCCTGAACCACTTTTGAACCACTTTTGGACCACACCCCGCAGCTCCTTGGACCTGATCGGATGGTCGCCCTTTCTGAGAAAATTATCCCGGCAAGCAACCGAACAGCGATATGTAGAAGCATATCTGAAAGCATTCCCCTTAAGATTCAGATGAAAATCCAGTTGTAGAATTCTGCTGTTCTCGCAGTCGTAGTCGCATTCGCGATGACAGTCGCAGCGGCAACGGCAGTCGCAGTCACAGCCTCAGCCTCAGCCTGCCTCAGCCTCAGCCTCAGCCTGCCTCAGCCTCAGCCTGCCTCAGCCTCAGCCTCAGCCTGCTTCAGCCTCAGCCTCAGTCTGCCTTCAGCCTCGGCCTCAGCCTCAGCCTGCCTCAGCCTCAGCCTGCATCAGCCTCAGCCTCAGCCTCAGCCTGCCTCAGCATCAGCCTGCTTCAGCCTCAGCCTCAGCCTGCCTCAGCCTCAGCCTCAGTCTGCTTCAGCCTCAGCCTCAGTCTGCCTTCAGCCTCGGCCTCAGCCTCAGCCTGCCTCAGCCTCAGTCTGCCTCGGCCGCAGCATCAGCCTGCCTCAGCATTCAAAATGTTGCCCAGGAATGGAGTTCT